ATATATATATTCTTTAAAAATAAACACATCGTTGTCACTGGAAATAAAGTTATTTTTAAGCTCAGAAAATGCGAGACAATGTGATTTCTCAAAAGAATCAAATACTGAAGCCAGCATTATTCCAGTGGCCATCAGTGACCAGACATATAGGATTTAAATGATCATGTGTACCCTACACCAGTGACACTTATGAGCAAGTTTTACCTAATCTTGAAAAAAAAAATCTGGAGAGTAAAATAGTGCACTAGGAAGTCCCAAATTGTTTTCCCTTGGAGATATTTTTTAAAAAGGAGGAAGAAAGAGAGGTAGAAACCTTTGTGGCTTTTTTGTTCAACCTTGTGTCGCTCCTTTGGCACAGTCTTGGTTTGAAGAAGCTGAGTTCCCAATTCCCTCCCTAAACTGAAGGGAGCAGAAAAGACTCTATTTTCAATATTACGTCTGAGAAGTCCCTGAGGACTTGTCTCATTTACCTACTTTAAATCTCAAATGGAGAGATGCAATGGACACTGCTCAGAAAGACTAAGACTGCAGACACCTGGGGCAAGAGATTATTGGTGGAGACATACAATAGATCACTTAAAGCCCCAAAGAAATAGTCTCTTGCATGAGACTATTTGGAATAATAAGACATTTAAAGCATTCATAAATGTGAGAAATCAAAAAAGTCACACAGAGGCCCTGGAAAGATGCATATCACAAAAGTTATCAGACCACAAGCTTTCTCCACAGGCTGATGCCAAGGGTCAGAGCTACCCACAAATTAGTACAGGACTGTCCCTGCACAGAGCCAGTCTGAAAACAATGGGAGAAGTGATTGTTTTATTTAAAAGATCACAAGAAAGAAAAAGAAACAGAAAAACATATCTCATTTAAGTGAAGTGACATGTTATTTTTAAATAACTATACTAAATCTGCTGAAGAAGATAAATGAAAACTGGATAATGAAAGGAAATTAGCCCTAGCCAGTTTTGCTCAGTGGATATAGAGCATTGACCTGTGGATCGAAGGGTCCTGGGTTCCATACCGGTCAAATCAGGTACCTTGATTGCAGGCTCCTTTCTGGCCGGACCCTGGTGAGGGCGCCTGCAGGAGGCAACCAATCAATGTGTTTCTCTCACATCGATATTTCTCTCTGTCTTTTCCTCTTTCTTCTACTCTCTCTAAAAAATCAATGGAAAAAAATATCCTTGGTTGATGATTGAAAAAAAATAAAGAAAAAGAATAGAAGGAAATTAGAAAACTGACATGAACAAAATGAGAATATCAACAAAGAGATAGCAATTTTAAAAAGCAATAAAAAATGATGAAAAATACAATACAGGCATACCTCATTTTCTTGTGCTTCACTTTATTGCACTTTACAGAATCTGCATATATATATATATATATATATATACATACACATACTGAAGGTTTGTGGTAACCCTGCTTTAAGCCATACTATTGGCACCATTTTTCCAATAGCATTTGCTCACTTTTTGTCTCTGTGTCACATTTTGGTGACTTTCACAATATTTCATACCTTTCCATTATTATTTTTGTTATAGTGATCTGTGATCAGTGCCTACGATGTTCCATTGCAATTGTTTTGAGGTACCATGAGCCATGACCATGTAAGACGGCACATGTAATCAATAAATGTGTGTGTTCTGACCACTCCACCAGACTGGCTGTTTCCCTATCTCACTCCCTCTCCACAAGTCTCCCTATTCCCTGAGACACACAATTTTTGAATTTGGCAAATTAATCACCCTACAATGGCCTCTATTGGAGGCCCCAAGATTTTTGGGAAAAAAATCTTGGGGCCCTTAAGAGTCATGTTAACTATACTCTACCTTTGCTCTATAAATGGAACAATGAAGCCTGATGACAGCACATCTATTTATAACATGGTTTACTGAATCTTTTAAGGCCCCTGTTGTGACTTACTGCTCAGAAGAAAATATTTCTTTTATTTATTTATTTTTTGTCAATTGAGCCTGCAACTGAGACATGTACCCTTGACTGGAATTGAACCAGGGACCCTTCAGTCCCTGCAGGCTGAGGCTCTATCCACTTAGCCAAACTGACTAGGGCAGAAAAGATTTATTTTAAAATATTACTGATCATTAACAGTCCACCTAGACACTCAAGAGCTCTGATGAAGATGAACAATGAGATTGTGTGTGTGTGTTTCATGCTTGCTAATACAACATCCATTCTGTAGCCCACAGATCGTCTTATTATTTAAGGAATACATTTTGAAAGACTATCACTGTTATAATAGTGATTCCCCTGATGGGTGTCAGCAAAGTACATTGAAAACCTTTTGGAAAGGATTCACCATTCTAGATGTCATTAAGAACATTTGTGATTCATGGAAAGAGGTCAAAATATCAACATTATCAGGAGTTTAAAAGAAGTTGATTCCAACGGCCATGGATGACTGAGGGGTTCAATACCTCAGTGGAGGAGGCACCTGCAGGTGTGGTGGAAATAGCAGGAGAACTAGAATTAGAAGTGGAGCCTGAAGATATGACTGAGTTGCTACCATCTCATGATAAAAATTTAATAGATCAGAAGTTGCTTCTCATGAATGAACAAAGAAGTTGGTCTGTTGGAATGAAATCTATTCCTGGTGAAGATGTTGTGAAGACTGTTGAAATGACAGCAAAGAATTTAGAATATTATGTAAACTTAGCAGATAAAGCAGTGCAGTGCTTTGGAAGACTGACTCCAATTTTAAAAGAAGTTCTGTTGGTAAAATGCTATCAAGTAACGCAGAAAAATTGTTCATGAAAGGAAGAGTCAATTGGTGAAGCAATCTTTATTGTCTTATTTTAAGAAATTGTCACAGCCACCTGAACATTCAAAAATGATCATCTTTATCAGTCAGCAGCCATCAACACCAAGACAAGACCCTTTACTATAAAAAAGATTATGACTTGTTAA